CCCACCGACCAGGATTTTGGGAAAATATGGGAACGTTGCCAGAACGCTTCGTATCAACTATTCTTTATCAAGGATGGTTATCTTTTCCGCCATAACAGTATTTGCATTCCTGTATGTTCCCTCAGGTTGGCCGTGATCTCTGAATGTCACGATGGAGGATTGCCATGCCACTTCAGTCGTGACAAAACGCTGTTACTCACAACCGAAAGGTTCTACTGGCCTTCCATCAAGAAGGACGTGAGCCGAAACACTCGAAGCTGCCAAACCTGTAAGAAAGCAAAAACATCACTCACTAATGCCGGACTATACTCACCCTTACCCATCCCTCTCCGGCCATGGGATGACGTTAGCATGGATTTCATCGTGGGACTTCCACGGACCCAGCGGAATAAGGACTCTGTGATGGTCGTCGTCGACAGGTTCTCCAAGATGGCTCATTTCATCGCTTGCAGCAAAACATTGGATGCCACACAAATCGGCGACCTCTATTTCAAAGAAATAGTGCGTCTCAACGGCATCCCGAGAACTATCGTTTTCGACCGAGACGTCAAATTTCTCAGCCACTTTTGGTGCACACTATGGCGAAAACTAGGCACTAAGCTCCAGTTCAGTTCGGACGCCCACCCGCAGACAGATGGATAGACTGAAACTGTCAACCGCAGTTTGGGAAACTTACTGCGTTGCTTTGTGGGTCGGAACTTGAAGCAATGGGATCTCATTCTTCATCAAATTGAGTTCGCCTTCATCCGATCCACCAACCAGACGACAGGACACAGTCTGTTTGAGATTATTTATGGTAATAATCCACTGACTCCTTTAGATTTATTACCCGCATTGTCGAATTCCGCTTACAGCCAGGAGGGAGAACGGCGCAGTGAAGAAATTAAGTTACTACACCAACAAGTACAAACTCGGATCGCCCAACAGAATGCCAATACCAGAAACAAGCAAATAAACACAAGCGGCCAGTCATCTTTCAGGTCGGTGATAAGGTCTGGATAAAGCTACGAAAGGAACGATTTCCCCCGGGGCCGTTTGGAAAGCTTAAAGCCAAGGCTGACGGACCGTTTCGAGTTCTCAGAAAGATCAATGACAATGCATACGAGATCGAGCTTCCAAGGGATTATAATGTATCGACAATCTTTAATGTGTCTGATTTAATGCCCCATTATGACTTAGAAGACTGTTTTCCCACCCCGGGTGAATGACGCAGGAGCTAACGGCTACTTTTATTTTTAAATTTCCATTTCCTGTAGCTCTACTTAGGCGAAAGTGTATAGCCTACCGTCTCAATTGTATATAAATAGTTTCTCCCGTTGGAAATAAGACAGCCAGTCATTGTATTTCGTTAAAAACAGATTGTTCTGTTTCTCGCCTCTGTTTTCTTTCACGCCTGCAGGTCGTCCTGAGTTCCGTCAGGTTGCCCGGCGAAGGAAGTAGCAGGGACCCGTGAGCATCAAGCTCTACGCTGCCAGCAGCCACCCTTCGAGGAGTCGGAGATGGTGTCACCGGAGTTTTTCTAAAGCACCACTAGAGCACCAATTGAGGCCCGAACTTTCGTCGAACCACAGATAGAAATCGGAGTTCCGCCATACCACCGAATAACGCTCGGACTTCCATTGGACCACCGCCTTACGAATATAGTCTTTCTAACCTCTATCTCATGGCAAAGGAGGTCATCAGTAGGTCCTTTCACCTCTATCTCCAGACAACGGTATTTCTGACCCAAGTCTTATGCTAACTACAATCTTTCCAATCTCTATCGCTAAATAATGGTCTTTCCGACTCCTATCTCCTCCCGACTATGGTCCTTCTGACCTCCTTCACCTGCTACGGTCCTTCCGACCTCCATCGCAAGACAACTGTCTTTCTGAACCCTATCTCCTGCCAATTACGACCTTCGTCATCTGCTATGGTCCTTCCAACCGTCTTCGCCATACAATAGTCTTTATGACATCTGTCTCCTGCCGACTACAGTCATTCTGACCTCCATCACCAAATGACAATCTTTCTGACCACTATCTACCATCGACTATAATCCTTCCAACATCCCTCATCAAATAATAGTCTTTATAACCACTATCTCCTGCCAACTACGGTCCTTCTTACATCCCTCGCTAGATAACGGTCTTTCTGACCAATGTCTCCCGCTGACTACGGTCTTTCTAACCTACCTCGCCAGACAACGATCCTTCCAACCACCGTCACCAAACTATGATCTTTTCGACCTCCGTCGCCCGTTGACTGTGTTTCTGTCGACTAAACTAACATTTCAATACTAATTCTTCCAATTTTCACCATGTAATATGATGTACATTTGCTACATCAACCCAAGGTCTTCCCCCTAAGAAATGGCCTCATTTGTAACCTACTACAAATAATAGTGGATTTATTCAAACTGGGCTAGGCCCTGTGGTTTTCCCCCCTTTTCAGGGGTTTCCACAAAAAAAAAAAACTATGGTGTCTCTTATGAATGCCACACCCTCTCTTTTATCTGCTTGTGTGCTGGATCTTCATACAAAACTAAAATATTAAATTTCATATTTCTCTAATGTCGTGAATATCCCAGGATACAACAAAATTAAAATTAAAAAATTAATTTTTTTTTAACAATTTGGTAAATTGTATTTCATTTACTCCTCTTCTCTTATTCACTCAATCTCCTCACATTCCTCCTCCCCTTCACTTTTCTCCTCATCTCCTATTGTTGCATGTTACTGGCTCATTCATCTCCCAGTCCTATGCATAATAATATATTAAAATTAAAAAAGCTATAAGAATTTGTAAAAACTATCATATTTAACACTTATGTTTGCTATTGTAGATTTTATAGTTGTGTAGAATGTATAATAGAATGTAGATGAGCCTGCATAAGATATGATGGCAAAAATGATGAATAAAAATAGAAAGGGGTGGTATGAGTGAGGTGGATATGGTAGACTAAAGCTTTGTTTGTGACAATCATGTGGTGAAAGCTTTGACTTTTAAAGGAACAACTTTATTACAGCTTCATAAATTTATAGCAGAGAAAATAATTTTTTAAAGTTGTTTAAGAAAGCATTCTTCTAGTCAGTGGGATAACCAGTCTTAATTTTCAGAGGGGGACAAACTTATAAGTAAAAGTGTAGATATTTCATAGATATGTCAGGGATCCAAGATGGCAGCGCCTCTTAACTGAGTTCTCATTACTATTTATCTTTGTATTTGATTCATCGTTCCCTAATAATAACACTTCAACACAATGAGTTTAATAATGCGGGGCAATTTCCTTTACCCTCAAAACAAATCCATATATAAAATTTTACCATATTTTCAATTATTCCTTTACCCTCAAAACAAATCCATATATTAAATTTCCCAAAAAAAAAAAACCATATATAAAAATAAGATCTAACTTCTAAGCACTTTGTCACTTTCCATATCCTCGAATCATTCGCCATTCAGCCAAAGCCCATAGAGAAAAGGGAACGGGGCTGGAATCTTCGCGTGCTTGACAAGTTATCTCAAACCCAGAGCAGAAGCAAGGAACAAAATTTTGTACGGTCGCGGAGAGGAGTTCTCGCCAATTTCACCGTAATTAAAGAAATTCACTCGAACATCGTAGAAAATTAATCTACCTTTTTGCACTGATAGCAAATTTTTTAAATATTTAAGTCAATTAAGATTAACTCATATACATATCACATATATAATATTTAAATTTAAAATCTTTTAATTAATAGTCAAAATTTGCAACCAAAATATTAAAAAGAGTTGCATGTACGTGTGCCTTAAAATCTTAAGTTCAACTCCCGATAAATTATCCTGTGAGGAGTCGAAATTATAAATATACATATTATGTATAAAAATTTGATACATACTATATATAAATATGTACATAAAATATACAGTCAAATATCTGAATGATCATGGGCGTATTCCCATTGTATTGAGGGGTTGACAAATGCCCACCCTCAATAAAAAAAAATTAAAATTTTAGAGAGTATATTTTGAAATATTTTAAGTATTTTGGGTATTTTGCCCTTTCTCAAAAAAAATGTTGTCATAATTTTATCAATTCTAAACATCTTTGTCCATAAATTCTTTAACCCTTCTACTTACTAAAAAAATCGGTGGACCTTAAAAAAACATTTTTGTCAACTTATACTTATGCAGAATCTCGAGGGTACTGGTTCAGCCAAATAGATATTTTTTAATTCAAGTTGTAAAATATTAAATTTGTAAATACATATAAAATATAATTAATCTATGACTATAATTACAAATCTTAGCATATTTATTACATAATTTCTTGGAAATATCAAGAAAAGAGGTATCATTGAGTAGATATCGAATTAAATCAAATTAATCATATTTAAATAATTTTTTATTCATATTTTATATTAAATTTAGTTTTCTTAAAAAAGTTAGAAAATTAATCATTAAAACTATATATAGTTAAATTATTGTTATTAATTTATAAATCTCTTATTATTTTTCTAACCTTCCATTATTCAGAAGCCTGTTTGATATACATATGATTTTTTAATCACATATTTTGATGATATGTTCAAAACATATTAGATATAAGAAGTATTATATAAATAATGATTGTAATATTATATTTATCTCAATTTTATTTTAAAAAATTTGGAATAAACTATAATTATAGTTCTAATGAAAAAAAAAAGATCAGAGGCATACATAAAGCCCATCTCATCATCTCGAAAAATTATTAGGTGCGGAGTGTGCATCATTCGTACAAGCATTGAGTACCTAACGGTACCCAACAATATCTTACGGTACCGAGTGCTGATACATAGCTAAATATAATGCTTATGCAGACAATTCTCGCTCAGCACCTAATAATCTCTCGTCTCAACATCGTTCTGGCTTCTTGCCTTCTCCGTCGCTATCTGATCAAAGGATCAGATGCTTTGCCTTTTCTTACCTCGACCAATCTCCTCTTCTCTTTCTCACTCTCTCGTTCTCTCTCCAACCTATAATTTACAAGCTACAAAACCAAATTTAACCAACGGCGCCTACGTATATAATGTCTGGTCCCATTCTCAGCTCTCTCATCCTCTAGTGAGTAATTAAGAACTCCATGGCCGGCCTGCAGCCCCCTGCCCGATCATGGTTCCGCCTTGCCTCTATAGCCCGAATGGAGGCCGCTGAAGCCGCAGCGGCCGCGTCCACTGCCAGATCAACGACAACTCCTACAACCCCACCCCTCCCAAGAACTCCTCCCATTCCCCGGCCGCAGCAACAGCCAACTTCGACACCGCCACCGCCACCACCGCCACCGCCTCCACCGCCGCCACCACCACCTGCGCCGAAGGCAGAACCCCAACCCGAGCTTCCATTCACACCAACTCCACAACCAGAAATCAAAGCTCAGATAGCAACCGAAGCAGCATCACCGACACCTCCATCTCTCTATGAGCCTGAGCAGCCTCCCACGCCTCCACGCGTCGCAACGCCACCAGAATCTCCAAAGGTAATCAAACCTTCCTTTTCCTCCCCGCCCCCTTCGCCAACGGTCAAGCAAACCAATAACACACACAACCCAGAGCCCGAACCTGAAACCAAGCCTCCGCCTCCTCCCCTGTATCAGACATTCTCTGCTTTGCCGGAGGAGAAAACGATTACCAACAGCAACGGAAGCAGGGCGAGCAATGTATCCTACAGCAAGCCGCAGGGTCCCCCAACAAAGGAAGATAAAAAGCTGAGGGTCATCACCATGGCTGGAGAGAACACCGGCGCTGTTATGGATATTGGTTCTGCTGCTCCGCACCGCCTTGGCCACCTCTTCCATAAATCAGATGGAAGCGGACATGGCCGGAAGATGGAGCAGGAACACGAGGAAAGTAAGAAGGGTGGCAGGGGAGCGGCCAAGACGAAACACATGGAGGCGGTGGTGAATAGTAACGTGCAAGGTATTAACAATTCTATTGTCTTAAACTCAACAACCACCCAACACAGCCCCGGCGTTCACATCACCTTTGCAAGTAACCGGAAGCCCAAAGGAAGCGGAAGCTCCGAAGGGCACAAGGCAAATCATTCTGATCAACTCCATTAACTATTTACTCGTCCTAATAAGTTCAAGTGAATAAATTATTAGATGGGGAGAAGCTATTCATCGAGGATTTATCGTCTCTTATCAACTTTTTTTTTTCATTTACATCTTTCTGTTTCCACGAGCTGATTGAGTGGAATTATTGTTCTCTGATTGATATGAAATTGTGATCAATACGTTTTATCTTCTGGTTTCAGTGGTTCTGTGATTTTTACTGAACAGCGAAAATTGTTCTAATGTAATACCGATTTGTAGGTGCATTGGAGATACTTTTTGTTTCAGAAACATTATAAAATATAAAATAACTGGTTTTTTTGGGGAATTTTGGGGCATCAGCCCGTATATTGAAACTCTAAGAATCGATTACAAAAAGAACCCGGTTCCACACAGATTGGAAACCAACCAAAACATTGGAAGAAGCAAGTAATCAAAATAAAAATAAAACCAAAATAAAACCGGACTCAGGTAAAACAGAACTAACAGACTAAGCAAAATGCTTAACAAAAATCTAATCCATCCGGATCCCATTCTTCCCTGGTTGCAAGCAGGAATCAGAAGAAGAACAGCCACAACTGATGTAGCCATCCAAAGAGTAGACGAGTCCCCTTTGGTTGCTAAACAAAATCATCTCATGCACCCCACACAGGCCATCCAAGGGAAGAGTCCAGTAAAGCCAACAACCGTTAGTTCTACTCATCATTGTCCGGTTGTGGGAAGAGAGCTTTCCCACCAAAAAACGATCCAACAAGCAGCAAAGAAAAAAAGGCGATAGATACCACCAATTAATACCCCAAAAAGCAATTAGGAAATGCATCCTTGATCCTATCCACCTGCTTCCAGTTTCCAGTTTTAGCTTTAATAGCATAGATAATTTTCTTCAAATAATCCTGCCCAGAAGTTTCAAGTTCCCCAAATCTGCGCCCATTACGTTCACGCCAGAGATGATATAACGTGCAGCATATAACAAAATAACAAAAGTTCTTCTCAAAACCTTTCAGAGTCTCAACCCCATCAAAATACTGAAAAATCTGGTGTAAATTGGGGCGAAGCAGAAAGCTGTTAAGGGAGGGGAGAAGAGTGGAGATCACAGAAAAAGAAAATTCACACTGAAAAAAGCAGTGCGCAGTAGATTCATCTTCAATCCTGCATAAAGAACATTCAGGAGGCAAATAAATATTTCTCTTTGCCAACACATCCACTGTTTTGAGACCATCCAACAAAGCCATCCAGGCATAGGACGCGTATTTTAAAGCGTAATGGGCGTGCCAAACAAATTTAAACCATGGAACCAAGTTCAATTCAGAATAAAAACCCATATAGTAATCCTTAAAAGAGGGCTTAAACGACCCAGCCCAAGAAATCTGAGAATGAGGATGTGCAAAGATAGGTGTGGCAGTTATACGGGTGCAAACTGATTGGTCAAGTTGAGATGGAAGGGACCAAAAGCCATTAGAAATAAAGTCACTGACCACCCCAGTCAAGCAAATACTTTGAGCAGCGTCTAACACCGTGTTACCTTGACACCACGGGTCCCACCACATAGAGAGGGTGCAGTTTTCACTAATCACATGGAAATTCAGCTTATCCTTGATTTTCAAAGCAATACTTACAATTCTTTTCCAGAAATTAGAAGTTTTAGGCTTAAGAGGCTTCCAGGGAGAGGAGAATTTATGCCTAAACCAATCACCCACCAAAGAAGAAGTAGTATAGAATCTCCACAAGAAAGAGCAACCAAAGGCAAAGGACAAAGAATCTAAGGAAGGTAGGCCGAGACCACCAAAACACTTAGGAAGACACGTTTTATTCCATGCAATCAAGTGTAGCTTTTTTCCTGAATGAGTCCCATGAAATAAAAACTTAGAGCAAAGTTTATCAATTTGCCTTCCAACACCCTTAGGTATGACAGCTCCCCGGATCCAGTAAGCAATGGTGTTGACAATGGTAAATTTAAGAAACTGGACTCTACCTGCAAAAGACAAGAATTTAACTTTCCAACCAGCAAGTAGAGTAAAAAGTTTACTCAGAAGTGGTTGGAAGTGAGAGGCTTTGAGCTTTTTGGTGGAGATAGGAATGCCAAGGTATAAAATAGTGTTCTCAGTTTGAGAGAAGCCAAGCTGAGCACAAATTTCATTGGCTAATGGGGTGTTGTGAGAAAAGATGAATTGGCACTTAGCATTGTTTAGGACCAACCCAGAGTACTTGGCAAAAGAGGAGAGAGCAATCTGAAGAGAATTAGCATTAGAAATGGAAGCCTCTCCAAAAACAAGGATGTCATCCGCATAATGTAGATGGTTAACCATGAAATCATTGCAAGAAATGCCTTTAAAATTACTAGCAGTAAGCCCACAGGAAAAAGCATCCATCACCACCGAGAAGAGTAACGGGGATAAGGGGCACCCCTGACGAAGACCAGAAGTAGAAGGAAAGAACCCCTCTAACCCCCCATTAATGGAGACAGAAAACATCTTCAATACACCCTTTGATCCATCCCACAAATTGAGGAGGAAACCCTTTTTCAGAAAGCCTTTCCAACAGAAATTCACGCGAAATAGTTTCAAAAGCTTTCCGCATATCTAATTTAGCACAAAGCATCTTCTCCCCCTTGTTACTATTGAAGTCATTAAGAATCTCAGAAGCAAGCACCACATTATCAGTAGACATTCTCTGCTTAATAAAACCGGCTTGGCTAAGGTTAATAATATATGGCATAACCTCCCTCATACGATTAGAAAGGATCTTAGCAATAATTTTATAAAAAACATTGCAAAGAGAAATAGGCCTATAATCAGAAATGTTAGAGGCATGAGACCCTTTGGGAATCAGGACAATCGCAGTAGCCTTGGCGCATCTGGGAAGAAATCTAGTGGAAAAAAATTGTTTAACAGCTTTACAGACCTGATTTCCAATAATTTCCCAAGACTCCTTATAAAATTCAAAAGTAAATCCGTCAGGTCCAGGAGCTTTAGAAGATGATCCAGCAAACACAACATCATGAATTTCCTTATCTGAAACCGGGATAGTGAGGGAACTAACCAGATTAAGAGGAATAGAAGACCCAATGGGAAGAGGGTCAAGCCTGGAATAAGGTGGCAAGATAGGCATAGGCATAGGGGTATTATAAAGTTTTTGAAAATACTCAACAGTAGCCTTGGCTATACTCTCAGGAGAGGAGAAAAGCCCGTCCTCAGTGACAAGATACTTAATCCCACAATAAGAATTTCTAGACTTAATACGGGCATAAAGAAAAGCTAAATCATCCTCACCCTTTGAAACCCAATTAGCCTTAGCCCGTTGGATTACCCAAGAGCCCCAAGCCGAATGAAGCGAGGCTAAATCTTGGTTGATTTTGTGCAGGGTAACATTGAGATTCCGGTCAAGAGGAGCCCTTTGTATCTGATTAAGACATTGCTGTTGAGCAACAGAGAGATCCGAAATTTTCTTAGAAAAAAACGTAGCATTAGACCAATTCTTCTTTTTGATGAAATCCTTAAGGAGATGAAGCTTAGTGTAAAGGGCAGCGATCGGGCTCCCAAAATTTTGAGCAGCAAAAACAGAAATGAGCCCATCCCAAAATCCATCCAACTTCAGCAAATAATTCTTGAATTGGAATCTAGCAGACACTTTCGAACAAGTACCAGGGAGAAGGATAAGGGGAGAGTGGTTAGAGCACGCAGGAGGATCCACTTTATAGTAAGAGTTTGGGAAGCTATCTAACCACTGAGAGTTAGTCAAAACCCTGTCTAACTTGATATGAATGGGATCATCATTCCTTTGATTGTGCCAAGTGAAGAATAAGCCAGAGGAGGGGAGATCAATAACTGCAGAGTTAAAAATCCAAGAATTAAATTCTTGCAATTGGCTGTAATGAAGGGGCCTTCCTCCAGATTTCTCTTCAGCAAATCTACAACAATTAAAATCCCCTAGAATAGCCCAGGGGATGTTGATATTGGGAGCAATACTAGTCAGTTGATGCCAAAGAGAGGCTTTCTCCGAAGCAGAATTGGCAGCATAAATTACCGAGAGCATAAGGGGGGGCATATTGGTAGAGTGGACAGTGCCGTGGATAAGCTGAGGGGTGGTAATAGAGGGATTGAAAGAGATACCCTTAGAATTCCACTTAATCCAAATGCGGCCCGGAGTAGAGCAATGGAAGTTGTTGACACTAGATTCCTCAGCAAAAACCTTATGCGAATTGCTAAACCAAGGGTCTTGAGCAGAATCAGGAGCAATCTTAGCCTCGAGGATACATAACATTTCCAGATGATACAAAGAAACCAGTTTCCGACAAGCTAGAACTCTATCAGGAGAATTAAACCCCCTGACGTTCCAGCACCCAAGAGGGCAGTGGGTCATTTTCGATTTGAGTTGGAAGAGCGAGTTTTCTTCGCGCTCTTACCCTTGGAATCCTTATGCAATTTGGACTGTTTAGTATCAGGTGGCTGTTTGGGAGGGAAAAATTCCATTTGAGCTGGTTGGGCTTGGGGGTCGGGGGGCTCATCCTCTGGGGTTTGCTCTGGCTGCAAGAGAGCAAACCGATTTGGGGATGAGATGGACGGATTTTTGGGCAGAGTGGTAGAGGCAGTAGCAAGAGAAACGGATTGGTTATCTCCAGGGGGTGTCGCAATTTCAGTGACTAAAGGGAAATTGTCAGAGGAGGAAACCTCTTCAGTCGGGGAATTCAAATTTGGAATAGGGACCAGAACAGGTGGAGGATTAGTGACTGGTATAACAATGGAATGATTGGGAATACTAGAAGGCGGGATAATGGCTTGCTGGGTTGGAATAGTGGAAGTGGGAATGATGGGTTCAGAAGTGGTAGGGGGGATCGGGATAGTGGAAGTGGGGATGTTGGGTTCGGAATTGGGTGGAGGTGGAGGAGGGGGTAGGGGAGGTTTAAGCGGAGGGGGAGGTCAAGATGTTCGAGCCCTGGTAGAACTCCTTCCCCGGGCAGGGGGAGGTTTGGGCTGAGGGTTAATGTGAGAAAGGGATGAGGGGTGAACAATAGACCCACAGCCAGAGCAAGGAGTCGGTTTCCAGTCGTACAGCACTTTGAGATTGACATCATCTCCATCAAGCGAAATAGGAATTTCATCAGGGAGGGAGGAGGTATTCGAAACCATGACACAGACTCTTGCATAAGTAAGTCGAGTTTTCCTAGCAGTGAGAGCATCGACTGCCAGCGGG